TGAGAGTCCGAGGATCAAACCAGTAGTCGATGTTGGGGCGGCAATCGTGATTCAGGCGAGAAGCTAGACATATTATTAGTACCTTAATTGATGGCAACAAAAAACATACAGGATGAAAGGGTCTAAAGGGGAACTTACTTTGAGCAAACAGTGCATAAAACCGGTCGTCAGTACGGCTGCTATTGGTGCTGATCGAGAACATATTGTTCTTGGCAATTGCAGCGACAGTAGATACCTCGTCTCCATGGTATCCATGCGTAGACAGATTCATGACCTGATTCCGATGATGGGAATTCAACAGGCCTACTGCATGAGCTCTCATGATGTCCAGCTGGTTTCGTGGCATCGATTCGAGTGCTGAGTAGTCAACCAGAAGACTGGCGGTCTCTTTGAGAATCACCTCACCCCGTGCGATACGTTCAGTGGCTACCAATCCATATTCTTTGCCAGGAATAGCCGCGACCTTAATCTTTGGCGATATCTGATTGGTACCCATAAGATAGCTTGGTTCGGTAAACCCCCGACTATTCACAATATGACTGGCAGTCTCGGCCTCGGTTATGACAGCCATGCCCTTGCCTCCGTAGTCTTCCTTGATGTAAATGCAAAATTCGGGAGATTCAAGCCCTTCTTTGAAGCATCGAGAAATCCCAGTCCAGAGAGAACTTGTTGGTAAGCCTGAAGAGTTAGACGAGACGCGGTCCCGAGCGGTGGTGAGCGGGTCTACAACATCCTTGACGGTGCAGATCAAGGAGTGTGCGAGATGCCGGGGAAAGACACAGAGTGCGTCGGGACCGGTATTCTTGACGTTCCCCAGAACATGGGTCAATCCTGTGCACAGGAGAAGCAGACACTTCATCGTAAGTTGTTGCAAAAATGGATGTCGAAAGCGTATGAGCTCCGGGGGCGTAAGACCACTCCTTCATGTATTTTTGCTCACTCACTCGTCTACATCTCCCTCCTCTTAATCCAAAAAAACATATGATGCATGGGCTTGGGTCAAGGCTCAGAGTAGTATACTTATGCTGACTGACAAATTGGCGAGCCAAGATTCTTACGATCTAGATAAGTTGTTGACTATCTGACTGTCTTACTACTGGACATTCTGACTGATCATCTGACGGCTGACTCAATAACCTGGCAGCTTACAAGCAGGATGATTACGTGCCCCACGCGTTAACCTCTCTCTCTTCAAGTGACTCAAAGTGCATTCAGGTAAAACACCTTACTTCTGTCTACCGCTCACCACATCAGACGCGTTGCCAAGTGCAAGAGGGGCATCCGTTGAGTCTTGAGTAGTTAGATCCATGAAGCCTCTAACATAAACCAGCTACCATCTTCTGAGACACATAATTGTTGAGAAAGGCCCTTCGTCAAATCCCTCATCTAGCCACATGCGCTACTTAGGCCTGACCTACTATAGTCTTTTGTCTTCCCGTCAAGGCGTGCAGTGCAGAATCGATGCGACAGCCAATGCACCAGATACCGAGGTGCATGCACTTGTAGCTGTGTGCGGGGTTCAGGTCACGGAATGCCATTCCGAAGGTTATATGCAAAAGTAGCAGGTGGGAGAGGCTTCATAGGATGACAAACCGTCATCATAGGTGCGAATGCCCCATGAGGATGTGCCTGCTCTCCATCCGTCGCTGTGTGGGCAATGAGGCTCGTGATCAATGCCCATAGGCGGGGATACTAATACAAGATGCGTCATGTAAGCCGTCTGTCGGGCATATAGCATAGCAATGATCCTTGGGGGCTGGGTGAAACACGGACCTTGTCTCTCAAGATCCACGCGATCTCGGGCACGGATTCTATCATCAACGGGTCGTCGAGAGTTCCCATGAGTTGATCATCCAAGTCAGCCCTCCCTTGTTTGACTTCCTCGGCGTAAAAGCATTCAGCACCTCTAAGCATTTCTTCAATGAAACCAGATTGCTCCCATCTATTCCAAATGTTGGAATGCTCTCTGATCTCGGAGAGCAGAGTGGGAAGCCGCCGCTCGCGACTGGCACTCTGCTCGTTTGAGAGCGCAGGTGACTCGCTCAGGTCGGCTGTGTAGTAGAGAGATAGCACGGCATCCAAGCTGCTGAAGCCCAGAAGTTTTGCACAATGCTTCAGACAGTTCAGCCTCTCGCAAAGAGACGTTGTGCTTGCTATAGAGCCGACCCGTCCCCGTGGCGTTTTCAGTTCGTTCTTCCCAGCGCAGGAGCCACCGTGAATACCCATGAACTCGTCAGAGTAGTCACGACGTTGAAAAGCTTCTGTTTCGGGTGGGGAGGAGAGATAACTGAGAGCGATATTGTTTCCCCAGCTTGGTATCTCGCCTGGGGCCATCATCCCAAGCATCTGGTCCGAGGGGGCATCAAACCTCACAGCCAGTGGATCTCCGCGGTCGAAACATCCCGGCGCCAGTCCTTTATGGATGTCATTTGGCCTTCCCCCACTGAAGAGCCCGGCTGGACTGGCGATTAGTGGTGGGTTCTGCGGTGTCTGGGCAAGAAAACGCCACATGGTCTCGGCGACTTCTGGGTATTGTGACGAGGGATCTTCTGAAAGAGACATTGATTCTCTGGACATGCTAGTTGAGCTGAGAGGAGGCGCTGTTGATGATGGCACTGATCGTTGTCCTGGGGTCGTGGGTACGCTGAGCGAGTCTTTGTCCCGGGGCTCATGCTCGTTGGCGGACAATTCTTTCTTCTCTTTGACCAGACTCTCAAGAACTTGAAGACGCTGTTTAAGCTTCTCACCTGCCTTTATTATCAGCTTGAGCTCCTAATTAGAATTGATGTCGAGACATACGGTGAGCACGTTGCGCGATTCGGTTTTGAATCCTCTTCTTCTCTCTCGGGTCAGATACTGCGGTCCAATCATCCTTTCCTGAAACGGAAGCAGCATTCTCTCTATTCATTGTCCCTGTACGCAATCAATGTATTCGACTGGAAAGTGAGTTTCTTGAAATCAACTTCAAAGCAGGTCAACGAGTAAGACGAAAGATGTTACGAGACAGTTCTGGTGGAATCTCGAGTAAAATCATGTCCCAATGGCATTTTAAACCTGCATTTCCTAGCAGTATTCCCGCTTGATTCAAAGTTGCTAGGTCTTTATTTACAACTTTAGCGACTTTTACCAGCTTTCGCCTGCGAGGTTTATTTCCCGAGCTTGCAAACATCTTGTGCTTCCCAGCTCGTGTTTCTCCAAACTCAATACTACGTGAAGGACGTCTTTGGCCTATCCACTTATCCAGGCTGTCTCACCAGGTTATTCTCAACTCCTCCAATCCTTGTTGGAGTCTTCAAAAGACCCTCTTGACTCGTGATTTCTTGCTCAACTTTGACGTTTGGTGTACTCGGATTCGCTGCCGAAATGTGCCCCGAAATCTAAGCATGGTCTGGGGGAGGAGATATCTCAGATATCATGCCACAGACCCTTGGGTTTGCCTGAGCTACAACCCACTTGTCTTCGGCTTACCTCTTTGGATGGTAGGTTCCGTCGGCCTTTACTGGTTTGTTTGCCGCTTCGTGGCGATGCGAGTGAAATGCAGTCAGAGATCCACAAAGTGGACCATGATCAAGCCAAGAGTCGGCTGCGAGGATGGCGGGTTTCACGTCGAGAAGCCGACTTCTAGACGATAAAAACGTGGACTACTAGTAAAACTAGCACAAGTAAATGTGGTATATCATTGACTCTACCTTGCAGTCTGTACTGCCCAGCACTACGGAGGCGGTTTGACCGATATAAATAGCGGACTTAGTTATGACGGCTTTGAAGCTGCGGGACCGGAGACAATGTACAGCCAGACCATTCCGATGTGGCACTTCGTAGAATTGTTGATACAAACATTACTCCGTATCAATACCCAGGCACGCAGGATACTATTGCGGAGTTAATGCATCGGGTCAAGGATGAGTGAGCACTGAGCAATGCCCGTCCGAAGCTCCCAGCCGCCAGACATGACTCGTACGGAAGCGGCCCGCCCCGCAGACGCCGGAAACCTTAATCGAGGATCCTTGCCTGGGAAAAAGCAGAGTTCGATATCACAAACCATGTTCGTCTTTGAGAATTATGCCGAATGAAGCCACTCTAGCCGATAAGTCAAATCTGTCCGGCTAGACTGAATGCATCCTCCCGTCGGCTGCTCCACCGGGCCGCCTAATACAAAGCGGAAGCCACGGAATTTTGCCTACCATCCGGCCCTGGTCTTCGGCTTCGGGTGAGTGGAGAGAAGGGCCGTTGCACAATGAGAGCCATTGACTTCTTTTTCCTCAGCGCTTAGTCGTCGGGCCGAAGCCCGCACAGTCTTCTGAATAATATGTATCATTTCTGGCAACCCCGCGTAACTTTGGCTTCGGGTACTCCTTAGCCGCCCATGGCCTATTGACCGTGCGTGAGGAACCCGGTCGGCAGTGGGCCAGCCTCTATCACCTCCTTGACGATCTGTATCTAGATATAGCATCCGGCCTCTTGTGAACTCTATGCAACACTAAGTCGCACTGTCGAATAGGAAGAAGAGTAAAGGTTAGTAGAATTGGTGATCACTGGGCAAATGAAACTACCCAGCTGTGACCACCGGCAACACGTCAGACATTCGATCTTGGACTGTGGGCACCTGCACAAATCGCAACTAATCCGCAGATTATCAGATATCATTTATTGGACAGAGTTTTGACCTGATACATATACATTGATCTAAGCCACCACCATCCCGGCCCCTCCCACGTCGAACAACAACCCAAACTCTTTGACCGAGGCCATGGAAGATTTGGAAACATTCACAAAATTTACAATTGAGTAGGTTTAATACAACTATAGGTGCAGATGATATCTCATTGGCGGAAGCAGTCGTGGACCTCAGTGGACAGATACTAGAACCTCCAAGTTACAACCTGACCCATTCTTCAGTACACACATATACCTTCAATTCTTTCCCCTATGTTGAAGCGTGCTGTCTCCTCATACCTCTTCAATCATCAATTGTATTGATCGGCCTCTCGTCATGATTATCACAAAGGTGGCGTGATCTTGTTGCCCAAGAATGGATCGATTTCCTCAGTGAACACATAGTGGCCATCAGAGTCGAGAGGATACGACTTGCCTGAGTATCACGGACACATCAGCATGTCTCACAACGTATATAATGTGCTTTTCTTACCAAGGAATGGATGAACAATTGTGACATTGTCGTAAATATCGAAGTGGCGATCTCGAGCCCAGTTATTGACGAGGTCCCAATTATAGCAGCTATGCTCGGTCCGGAAGTTCGTCAATGGCCTTCTATTGTTGTCGACCCAGTCATATGAACCGATTGAGATGTCTGCTTTGCACATGAGAGCCATGCGAATGTCTACCAAGTAATTCATATGCGCATTAGCAAAATGATCAAGAGTGGACATTGAATGTTTTAGAAACCTCTTACTATCAACGCAGTGATCAATATGATCTTCCAAATGGCGCTTCAGCTTCACATTGCCCTTGAAGTAGTAATCCGGGTATAGAGCTTGTCGAACTAATTTCAAACAGTGGATTTGATGATGGACGTTCAACCCGCTCCAATAATATTCGGTCAACTGACCAGATGCATCTGAAAGTCGAACAGAAGTCCTGTTGATTTTCTTGAGGTCTTCTGCTTTGAGTTTAAGATTGCTGTATAAGACGAGCTCGTCCCATGCAGCGTCTAATTCTGGTCTCGGCTTGCCTCGATAGACATTACCATCCGTCACTTCATTCATCCACAAGGATCGTTCTGGCTTCAGAGCCTTTCGAGCTGGTGCTATTGTCCGGAGATTGACTATCAGTACATAAATCAGAAAGATACGCCTAGAACAGAGTCAACTTACACCATACCATGGTCTGGTCGTCGGCGCATATCTTCTCTTCACCGTGGAGGGAAATGACGAAGGTCAGGAAGAGTGCGGTATAGAACGTAAATACCATGAGATGGACCCAAAGATATGGTCGGCAGAGTTGATGAGATAGTTTGCCGGATCCCTTCCGGGGGCGAATGGCGCCCTTTTCGGCGAGTAGGTGGTCCTCAGACCCGGCATCGGACCCATTCTCGTTCATGATTTGGTATTCCGGTAGACCAGAGATACGAGACCAAGGCCATTTGAGAAGGTTCATTGTTGTAGATGAGAATTGGTCGCAAAGCTTTGTGAGAAGATGTGTGAGAACGTATCGTGATATCGTTATCGTGGTAAGACCATGTGCAGCCGAGACTCAAGTGGGACCGACTTGGAGGAACTTCGGCGGTCCTTTTCGAAATCAAGCCACACGATCCTACATGTATGACTACCTTAGTTCACTCTATCGAAAAAAAGAGTATGCCGTCGCGAAGTTGAAGTTTCGAAGTCTCAATCAATAAGGCAAGGTATATACAGATTGAATCTGACATAATACTTTGCGTGACATGAATCTAAGCTTCTCATATGACTAAAGTCCGCTTGAGTATCTGGTATCTCCACTCTTTCTGAGGACAGTGACAGCGCTATGCCGTCTGACAACTGACTCATACACTGACTATCCGACCATCTTGACAGGCTCGGCTACTCGCGACTGTACCACAACATGATGATCTCAGGTTATACCTTGGCATCTAGGTGATGTGTCTCAATGACATCAAACGGTGTTGCTGGCGGAGCTGACCATTTTCCAGCATGAATGAGATTCTGTCAGTCAAATGACAATGTTTATGGATGGTGATGTGACAATCAGTCAATGAACTTACAGTTTACTGGACGTCGAATACCATCTTTGAGGAAACCATGATCTGAACATGAGTATTTAGCTTCTCCAACTTGTCCGAGATAGTTCTCATCTCAACCAGCTCTCTACACAACAGCTTCCATCGAACGCAAATACACCAAGTACCTCACCAATAACCAGCCACCCACATCCACTTTCAAAATGAAGTTCTCTAACACCCTCCTGCTTATCGCCCCCTTGACTGCCCTCGCGGCTGAGACATTTGGTAAGTCTAACATTCTCTTATCACCAATTTACCATCGATTGAGAGGCACAATTGTCAAGAAATTTATCTCTCTAATACTTTAGTAGGTGCACACGGTGGTGCGGTGGCTCAGGCTGGCGCCAAGGTCCATCAGCGCGAGGAGACCACTGCCTTCAGCCCTGCCCAGGATGACGCCAAAGCCTACAAGCGCGGCCAGGACGATGCGAAGGCTTACAAGCGCGGTCAAGATGATGCGAAGGCCTACAAGAGAGGTCAGGATGACGCGAAGGCTTACAAGAGAGGTCAGGACGATGCCAAAGCCTACAAGCGCGGCCAGGACGATGCGAAGGCTTACAAGCGCGGTCAAGATGACGCCAAGGCGTACAAGCGTGGTCAAGATGATGCGAAGGCCTACAAAAGAGGTCAAGATGACGCCAAGGCCTATAAGCGCGGTCAAGACGATGCCAAAGCCTACAAGAGAGGCCAGGATGACGCTAAGGCTTATAAGCGTGGCCAAGATGACGCGAAGGCATACAAGAGAGGTCAGGACGATGCCAAAGCCTACAAGCGCGGCCAGGATGATGCTAAGGCCTACAAGCTTTTGTAAGCGGGGTCTATGGCCAAAATCTGAAGGACTTCAAATTGCTCTGAAATTGGTAAGTAATTGCTATCTGTACCAATAAGATTGTCAATGAGCGATGAGACTGATTGAAAAATTTAGAAGCTGGCAAATCGTATGTGTTGCAGAGCAACCTGTGAGGGTCATACTCGACTATACCTTGCATCACGACTTTGTGAAACCAGCTGCTACCCTTCGCCCCATTGCCATCTAGAGTTTGCAAATTACTTTGCAGATACCTTACCATTACTTACTATTCGGGGGTTCGTCAGCCATTCATGTATAGATCTATAGTCTGTCATTCATTACTAGGTCAATACACTATTTCCCCCTGCTCTGATACTCGCTCGGTTTGGCCACGAGTCTATCCACATGAGACACTTTACTTACGCCCATGTACAATGCATCGATATGAGGTAGACGAAGCAGTCCAATGATTCCTGTTCGGAAGACTCAGTAATTCTAAAGATCTTTTGATATAGCTTTTGTGCTAATTTAACCAAAGTTGCCTAAACGCCTATCCATGCCATTATGTATATCACTTCAAAAATGTAGTCGTAGCCCCATTACTGAAATAAAACTAGCACCCTAGTTCAGCTTGGCTTCCTCGACGGCCAAAGGCGCCACCAAGTCTGAAATCCAGGCCTGCTTCTTCTCATCGGTGTACTGAGGGTAGGGGCGTCTGCAGTGGCAGCTGGTCAAAGGGTATCTGTGAGATTTGGCAACCACCCACTTGGTGCCGTTGATACCGCCCTTGCCGAAAGCCCACTCCATCTGGGCCAGCTTGAGCTGAGCGGCAGAGGCTTCCTCGATCTTGCCAGCGTTGTAAAGGTCAAAAATCTTGATGCAGTACTTGGGGAAGAGGTTGGCGACGCCGGTGATGGTGCCGTTGCTGCCGACGGACATGGCGGGCACGAGCCAGTCACTCTGACCTGCGAGGGCGAAGAACTCGGAGGGGTCGAACTCAGCGCGGACGCGGGCGACCTTGGCGATTCCACCGCAGGTGAGCTTTACACCGACAATGTTGGCGTGCTTGCCCAGGCGAGAGAGCATGTCAGAGTTGACGTCGAGGCCGGCGGCAACACCGGGGAAGTTGTAGATGATGATGGGGATGGGGCTGGCGTCGGCGAGCTCCTCGAAGAAGCCGACGATTGCCTCCTCGTTCATGGCGAAGTGGAAGTAGCTGGGGACAAGGACAAGGGCGTAGTCGGCGCCAGCGGCCTTGGCAAGCTTTGTCTCATCGATAACGGCACGGGTGGACTGGCCACCGCAGCCCATGGTGATAGTGAGGTCGGGGCGACCGGCCTTGACGGCAACCTCTCTTGTGGCCTTGACGAGTCTAGTCTTCTCATCATTGGTGAGGGTGACAGCCTCGCCGTTGGTGCCAGCCAGGACGACTGCGATACTGTCAGACTTGATGTTCTTAGGTTCTACTTGGGCTTATTACTTACCTCCATGGAGGCCAGACTTCACCAAGAACTCTAGGTGCTTGGTCTGCACGTCCCAGTCGATCTCTTGGCTGGCATCGTTGCCAAACCAGGTCAAACTAGGCACGTGGATACCGGCGGGAAAAGTCTTAGCAGCCATTGTGAATGATGTAGCGGTTGTAGGATACGCTTGACAAAATGAACACGGATGAGTTTAGGGTATCGATTGAAGGTTTAGGGATAATGAGAAGAAAGGCCAAACAGATTTGAATGGCAACAGTCGATACAAGTATGTTCTGAACTCCGTGGGTCGGAGCGCTCAACCCCGCGGTGGGCATCGAGGCGCGGGGCTCTTCAAGGTGGCATGTTTCCGACAAGCCGACCTTCCCCACGGGCATGAACCGAGCATGCAAGGCGGGTTTCTTGTGGAGTCAGAGCCTCAGGAAGCGGGCAGGGTCATGAGTCGTGAGCTGCTCAATGAGTCTTCCCCACGGGCCAGGTCATCTGATTGAAGAACTCCAGACTTTCACAGAAGACCATGTCGGAACCGGACAAAGAACCTGAGTTTTGAGAGTAACCGATCGGAGTGGATCGGTGTCGCGGCCGTCTGTGGGCCTTCCGATCGGGACCCACACTGATCGGGTACGCTAGTGTCGCCCGTCGGTTGCAGCCGATGGAACTAGTCACGCAGCTTGCTAGCCCGGAATCTGGTCTGGCTCTCACCAAGGCGGCAATGGTTACTGTGGCGTGGAAGAGAAGTCATCAATCATTGATGACTTGGGTAGATGGAACATGTGCTGAAGATGATTTAATTGAGGTGTACAATAAAAGGGGTATCTAATGCTATGGCGACTTGAGCTAAGTAGTTACTAGTACGAAGCAAGCGAACACTTCCAACGTGAAGCTATCCTCGGCAAGTGCGAAGCTCGCGAAGAGCCACCGTCCGAGCAGAGATTGGTGGCGAAGCCTTCTGAAGCAGTCGAATACTAAGGCATCTCAGACGATAGCAAAACATGCGTTGAATATGGCATGCATCACGGATCGGATGTCAACCCGGACCTTCTCAGCATCCTGCCTAGCCTGTACCTCTTCTAGAACTTGGGCAGTGATCTTCGCATTGCCGGCAACGCTCTCCATACGCAGGATCTGGGTCTTGATCCATATCCTCTCCTGGGGGTCCTGCTCTTCCGACCCTAGCATCAGTAAAGGCCACAGCATGTTGACCGGTAATGAGTTATCTGCGTCCAGTGAATCAACTAGTAGTCGAGCTAGGCGTCGAATCTGATTGAGAGCATCGCTGGCTTCTTTAGTAAGGGGAAAGGTTTTGTATGCCACTCTATGTAGGTGGACTTTACTTGCGTGATAGTTGGCAAGATATGTTCGAAATGCACGTGTGATAACGAACGCTAGGTGCGGCGAAACGTGAGGCTCCGTCAACTTCCCCGCCACGGCATAGTCCATGAGCGGGGGCCGCTGCTCGTACAAGGTCCGCAGATCCGCTGCGATGGCGGCCCCGATGTTCATGACCTCCGTCTCGTCCTCGACGGTGCCACGTGACCTATGCCAAGGGTCGATCTTTGATATCCGACCCATGAAGCTCTGAACCTTTTGGAAGAAGACAATGCCGGGCTGGTATAGAACTTGGAATAGGACATCCTCAATGTCACCATCTCCAAAGTCCTCCCTGTTTGAGTCTGCGCCTCCTCCATCAAAACTAGCTGGTGACGCTTCGACTAAGAGCAGCTCGTCATCTTTGGAAAGGAGCAAACCCTGTCCACCAGCGGAAACGGCACGGGCATCGAGTAGGCGCATCCACTGCAGGAATTGTTTCTCGATAGCGGCAAAACTGCTCTTCTCGCCTTGCTGGAACAGTCCATAGGCCCGCTTAAGGAACGAGTCTGCAGCCTTGATCTGACCTCGGAGGATGTCGACATAACTGAGGAAGAAGAGCGTCGCGAGAAGGTGCTCCCTGCGTGAGCTCGGATTGTCGGTCGCGGGCGACGACTCGTCGCCACAGATAGCCACTTCCGACACGGCTTTCTGATAATGATCTTCCGGACTGGCTAGCCAGGAGCCTTCGCGACGTGATAGCATCAGGTTCGAGAAGGCGAGTACCGACCACTTGACC